GTCGGGGTGGGGTGTCGGGGGGTGAGAGGGCGTGGGGCAGGCTCCTCTGGTCTGCAGCCTCTGGGGGAGGGTCCGTCTGCCCCTCCGGCTCCTGCTGGCTGCAGCCCCAGCCTCACCCGGCCCCTCCCTGCGTGTCCTCTTCTCTTGCAAGGGCCCCATAATATGGGGCCAGGGCCCAGCCTACGCCAGCATCACCTCATCTTAACCTACATCTTTTTAAAAAAATATTTTTTTTATTGATTTTCAAGAGGAAGAGAGAGGGGGAGAGGGAAACATCCCTGATGAGAGAGAATCATGGATTGACTGCCTCCTGCACGCCCCACAATGGGGAGGGAGCCTGCAGCCCCAGCCTGTGCCCTGAGTGGGAATCGAACCGTGACCTCCTGGTTCCTAGGTGGACGCTCACCCACTGAGCCACGCCGGCCGGGCTTCAGCTACACCGTAATCACATCTGCAAAATCCCTGTTCCCACTAAGGTACCAGAGGTTAGGCCCGCACTTATCGTTCCAGGGCGAGGGGACCAGGGGACACACACAATCCAACCCTGCAAACCCCCCCACTCGGTCCGGGCGGGCGCTTCTATTATTGTGGCTGCCGGCGCTCCAGGACCAACTGGGTCCCAGAAATAGTCGGCTCATCTGCTGTGCGCACGCACCCCGAGCAGGTTCCTCAGGAAGGGGGAGCGTGGGAGCAGATGGAGGGGCCCCCAGTTTGCAGACGGCGCCATGTGCACGGCTCAGAGCCTCCTTGGAGGACGGGGTAGGCACGCACACGCGGGCCCGTGGGGAAGCAGGCACCCCCGTCACCAGAGATGTGCGAGACCCAGCTGGGCTCGGGGCTGGGAGGGATTGTACGGGACCACCAGGCGCTCAAATGGGCCGCCCGCCCTCTGCTTCTCGTACTGGGTGGGGAACGTCGGGCCCTCGGGCCGTAGGAGGCCTGAGAAATCACTGGGTCTGGCCCTGCCCAGGCGTCGGGTGGGGCGGTGAAGTGTGTGGCCGTCTGTAGCAGGCGCACGTTTAGGCTGGGAATTTTGCGAGGCCTGGGGATGCGCAGTGTGCAGAGTGCAGAGCCCGGCTGGCCCCGAGCTGCTCAGTGGTAATGAGAGGCTGAGGCTGGGGAACGAGTGCGGGAGGACGGTCGCCGGGAGGCGGAGGCGGGCCGGGCGGCGGCTCAGGCGGCTCCGAGAGCACGTGGGCAGGTGAGGCGGTCGCCACCGGTTCTTCTCGAGACCAAGGGAGCGCTGGCTCCAGCGAGTCCTTCCCTGGTGCATCCCTCGTGGGTGACGCCAACGTGGCTCCGTTCTCTCTGCACCGTGGATCCAGAGCCGAGCCCCGGGCCTCTCTGGGGGAGGGTGTGTGTGCATGCATACGTGTTTGTGCATGTGCACGTATATTCACACACACGTTACATGAGCGTATGCACTCGTGTGCGCCTCTCGGAGGGATGTGCAGGCCGAGGACACGGGCCGTCT